GGGGTGGGGCTTCGATACATGATGTGCTGGTCATGTATCCACACGGGGGTGGGGTGGGGGGGGTACCCAAGGCTTTATGATGTATCAACTGCTCCTGTCTTTCAAGCCCTTTGGGGAATGTTCTATTGGAATGTTCTCATTGAATGTCCTAATTTGCAGAATGTTCTCATTGAAATGTTACCCTGGTGGTGGTGGTGGTGGCGGCGACAATGGTGGGGTTTTTCCGTTTGTTTTTGAAAGAATGAGCAGGAAGTTTCTGATCCAGCATGCTCTGGGCCCCTCCTTCCCGGGCCCCAACAGGCGGGCCCTGAGGGCAGCAACGTAATGAGTCATGGCAGGATCTCCACACACAGGCAGCCTCCGGTTCACTGGGCCTGCCTCCAGTCTCACCTTATCACCCTGTCGGCCCTCCCTCAAGGCTGGCACCTGTCACCCCACCACCACCAAGGTGGTACCTGATAGAACCAGGGGATGGCCGGCTCCACAGTTCCACTCACCTGTTCCTCTGTCCCTGTCTCTCTGGAAAGGGCTGTTCTGGAAATAAACACGGGATTCTGGAATGTTCCCTGAGCTGGTCATCAGGCTGTTCTCTGGACCTAGAACGTCCTGTCATCCTCTGCTTCCAGAGGCTGCCCCAGGCCTCTCCTTATCTCCAGGAGGCCCTATCTCCTGTAGCTGGAGGCTGGGCACGCCCTGCCCCAAAGAATCACCTTCCCCCACCTCTGATGGCCCAGGGCTGGCCTCAGGGTGGGGTACCAGGTCAGTGGTCCCTGGCCTTGCCACTCCCAGGTGAGCAGGGACCTGCCTTGAGGCGGGGCGGGTCTGCACACTTGCTGGGAAGGCCTAGAAGCCCCAGACCCAGGTGTGGCTTCACCCGCCACCCCCAACTTTGGGGCACTTACTGAGCTGGCACCGATTGCCTTGACCTTAAGGTAAGGCTTTCCTACTTCCTGGCTCACAAGTGCCAGAGAAAAAGGCCTGTCTGGGCAGAAGTGGGACCCAGTTAGGAGGAGGTGTCGTGGGGGCCAAGCTTGCCAGGTGGCACCCAGAGCAGGGGGGGCGGAGCCGATGAAGGGGCGGGGCCTATCCCTGTTAGGAAGAGATAAATTACAGGGATTAAGAAAAAAACAAATGTAAAAAAGCACACTCACTGCCATCCTGTCAATGCCTACTCACGGTGACCCTCTAGGACATGGGTCTCTGAGGCGGTAACGCTTTACCCAGAAAGCCTCATCCTTCTCTCGGGAGGGGGCTGGTGGTTTCGAACAGCTGACCTTGTGGTTGGCAGTCCTACATGTAATCACTATGCAGGGCTCCAGAAGAGACGGAGGAGTCCTGGAACTTGGCCCAGCAGCTGAGGGACCAGGGGCTTGAGGAAGCAGCAGCCCCCACCCCAAGGGCAGTACTCCCCAAATGTAAGAGACACCACCACTACCCACTCACTACCCGCCCCCCATACCCGTCTTGGAAAGTGACCCCAGGATGAGACCACCCCACCCCACCCCACCCCGGGCATGAGGGAGACAAGCATGCCCCCCTGGGCCCACATGGTGGTTTGCGGGCCCCTCCTCCCTCCCCTCCCCAAAGTCCGCCCTTCTCTCTCGATAGGTGGGGGGGGGCCCTGCTTCCCAACACAAGGCTTCCTTCCTTATTGCTCGTGCAAGTCACTTCCGAGCTCTGAACCAGTTTCCTGTCAAAATGGGAATGAGGTTACAACACAGGGGCAGTTGGTATTTGTTGTGAGCTGTGAAGAACTGCCCCTTAGGGTTTCCAAGGCCCAGACTTTTCAGGGACACAACCGTCTTCCCTGGCCCCTCTGGGTTTGGGTTCCAGTCGCCAGACTTTTCTGACCAGTAGCTGGATAGTAAATCGATCTTGAGGAGGAGGTCAAGAAACAGACAGCCACACAGCTATGTGCTGGACGGTCAACTCCCTCCTCCGCCCATTCCTCCAGGGCACAAGTCAAAACTCACAGCAACTCCAACTGAAACTCTGTATAGGAGTAGAAAGCTTCATCTGTCTCCCAAGGATCTGGCTGGCGGTTTCGAACTGCTGACCTTGCGGTTTGCAACCTAACACGTAACCACTATGGGACTGTGATAAAGACAGGCTCACCCCCATTACAGCCCTTACTCAGAGACCGGCCATTACGGATCCCACCCCACCCCCAACTCCTGAGCCCAGTGCATGACCCCAGCAAGAAGGAAGGAACCCCTGGGTATTGTGTAAACTTGAGTTTCCGCACCCTTAAATGGTGGGGGGGTGGAGAGGGGCAGTAACCATAGGGCAGCACCAACTAGTACCTGGTCTCGGAGAACAGAGACTCAGGTTAAGAGGTGAATGCCTAGGTGTGGGAAGTGGGGAGCTAGCTGGAGAGGGGCTCTGAGCAGGGAAACGCGACAGCCCTGGGGAGAGCTGGCACTCCTCACGCAAGTGGGGCTCCCAAAACATACAGGAGCAAAGCAGGTGTGAACAGGATTGGGGGTGGGGGGTGTCACAACCCAGAGCAGTATTCCTTCTTCGGTTGATGAGAGAGGAGGGAAGAGGGAGGAGGGAGGAGGGAGAGCCTGTGCTGGCAGCTGGCAGGATGGTTCACCCAGCATGCCGGTCGCCTCCATCCCTTAGCGCTGGGCCAGGAACACTCTGGGATTGGTGGGGTCTCAGGTGCTCATCATGCCCTTCCCCACCCCATCAAGAAAGAGCCTTACAGGTTCTTGGTGCCCCAGTTCACCCCTTCCAGGGCAGTTTTATTGGTGCCATTTGTTAAAAGCCCTTCCCATCAGCGCCCCCAAGCCTTGGCCTCCATCTGTGAGAAGGCAGTTGTTTTCTGGCCCTGGGCTCAAGGGCTACAGCAGGCCCCAGTCTGCTGAGGCTGGAACACCTCTGGGTCTGCTTCTGGGGATCCAGGGGAGGCGGAAGGGCCAGGTCTGATGTGTGGAAAGTGGGCGGGGCCGTGGCTGGCAGGAGATGGGTGGGGCAGGGTGAGCAGGCCCCATGTGCACCCCAGGGTCAGGGCAGAAAAATCAAAGATCCTGAGAGAGAAGCCCTTAGGCCAAAGTGGAGTGGGGCGGGGCAGGAGGCTGCGGGAAGGGAAGGGCAGTGTGCTCCTGCTCAGACCGCCCCAGGAGGCCTGGGCCTGGGTCTGCATGCCTGTGTCCCAGGCCTGGGGAGGCTGAGGAAGCACCCTGGGGATGGGAGAGGTGTGTGTGTGGGGGGTGTTAAGGAAACTCAGCTGAAGTGGTTGAGGCCTCAGAGCCCACATCCTGGGGGCGGGGCTGTCAGGGGCGGACAGGCTGTCCTGTCATGCAGTCCTCGGAGCTGCTGGAGACAGTCTGCTAGGGGCAGAGGTGGTCCTCGGGGGGCAGGTGGCCCCGAGGACAGGAGGTGGGGGTGGTCCTGCCCAATCCAGGATCAGGAGGCCTGGGTGGGGCGCCGGCCCCCCTCCTCCTCCATCAGCAGCAGGCGGCGGCGCCCAGCCTCGTAGTCGGCCTCATCCACACTGACCAGCAAGCGGACTGCCTCGCGGCCCACGGCGTCGCGCAGGGCCTCAGTCAGGAACACGCCCCGCAGGGCCTGCAGCAGGGCGCCACTCAGGTAGTCGCCCCAGAAGGCGTCCAGATAGGAGAGCTCGGAAAACTTGATGTCACACACCACGGAGCCCAGGTCTCGGGAGCGCAGCACCGCCGTGGCCTGTCCGAACACGTCCAGCTGCCGAGCCAGCGCCTGGGGCCTCCGGGATGCCACGCCCTGCTCCAAGGCCGGCCCGTGCTCACAGTACTCGGCCCGCACCCGGAGTCGGATGTCTGCAGGGAGAGGGGCTTGTCAGGATGGGGGGCTGGCCCACAGACACACTGTGCAGGGCGCCCCAGCCTCCCCCCGCAGGCTCCTCCCTCTGCCCCACAGGCTGAGCCTGCCCAGCATTCTGTCCCCCTGCCCTCTCCGCCACCACACCTCCCCAAAGCCTCTGCCACCTCCCTGACCCCCGTCCCCACTGTTCCTCACACTACAGCCTCAGCCCTGCCCACCTGTGCGCTGCTCTATTTTACCCCAAGGTCGCCCCTGAACCTCCTCCAGTTTATGTCACTCTTGGGCTTATCGTCCCCAGTGTGAGCTTCCTGAAAAAAGGGTTTGGTCATTTGCACAAGAACAATTATTTCCCAAAGTGACTTCCATTCCATTATTCCAGGAACCCCTGGCACACAGTGGCCACTTAATGTACAATGCACGAACAAATGAACATGCCTTTAGGCCACTAACCATGAATCTATGTGGGCTCCATTCATTTACCCCCTACCCCAGAGCATCCTGGCCAAGCCCCCACCACTGTAGTGGGCAGCTCTCTCCAGAGGGTGGGCTGTAAGCCTGGGGGTACCGGGTCACTCTGCCACCAGGAGGGGCGAGCAGAGTCTACAAAAAGCCCTGGGTAAAAAGGTACAGAAATGGGCCTTCGTCCTCCGCGCCTGCCTGTTCAGTTCCTATCATGTCCCTTCCAGGATAGATGGCTGTCACTTGCAACCAAACGTCCTAACACGGTCTGACCACAGCTCCCCAAATGATGTGGCACACGGGTAAGGACAATGGACAGATGGACCTCTCACACTCCCACTGGGGCTCCTGAGCTTCCGTCTCAGAGATGGGGTGACTGGAGCCCTGCCCACACCCCCCTCCAGGCTGCCCTAATGAGCTACGCATGCTGGAAATAGCTGTAGCGGTGCTTGTGGATCACAGAGACCTGCCAGGCAGGACAAGCAGCTTAACTCGGGAACGCACCGATTCCACAAATAACCCATGAGGCAGGCCCTGTTCTCACCCCATTTACAGATGAGGAAACGGAGGAAGAAGGAGTTTGCCCAAGGCCACATGGTCAGGCACTAGAGTCATCCCACTTCCTCTGGTCTAGAGAGCTGGTTTCTGGGCCCAAGAGCTGATTCCAACCCAGGAGCCTTTAGGGACTAGCTGTGACCTAAGCTAAGGCTAGTGCTTGGGGCCCAGGTTCGTGCCTGAGCCAGGATGGCCTGGCGGCAGAGCTACTAGGAAGAAGATTATAGAAGGCAACTGCTAGCCCTGGGCATGGCACTCAGTGGGACCCCCAAGAATGACAGCCGTCAACAGCTTGGATGTGCCAAGTGTTTCAGCCTTGGGGACAGAGGCAGGGGACACCGTCAGCCCACCTTCAGAAGATTAACCTGAAGCTCTGGGAGGGAACGTCACCTGCCCAGAGCCTCCCTTCCCCTATCGCAGGTATGTGGGCCGCAGAACCCCTGCTCCCCAGAGCAACGCCTCAGCCCCACCCACTTCCTCCTCCTCAAAGTGAGGCCCAAACCCCTTCTCCTTTGCCTGACTCAAGGCCCGGGGAAGCGGCGGCTGGCCCCAGCCCCCAGACAAGGCCCCCATCCCGAAGATGAGACCTCTGGGCACGCCTTGGGCAGGCAGAGGGCATGGCTGGGAGCAGGGGCCATGGCCACACAGGCTGGGCAGTGGCAGGGGCATAGAGCCAGGTGGCGGAGTCGGTAGACCTGGAGTCGGGACCCACTCTGGGCATGTGACCCCACCTCTCTGAGCCTCAGTTTCCCACCTGAGAAACACAGACAGACAGGAGAGCTCCCTTCTGCACTGTGGGGTCTGGAAGATTCTGTAAATGAGGTAACCCGGGGCCTGTGATGCAGAACGCACCCCGAAACAGGAAGTGCGGTTTCAACACCGACCTCTCCCTGTGCTCCCAACCCAGGTGAGGGCAAACCCACCTCCCTCGGCTACATCCTCCCATGGCCTGCCTTCCAGCCACAGTGAAAGGGCGCCCCACACAAGCCGTCTTCAGGCAAGAAGAGTCCTGTCCACCTCCTCTGCTCGGGGTGCAGGTCTCAACCATGTGCCCATCTCCTCAGCAGGGGCCACAACGCCGATGGAGCCAATGACCCATCTACCCACCCAGAGCCCCGCCCCGGGGCGTGCCTGGGGGCAGG